GGTTAACAATACTGTATTGTATATTTGCAAGTTACTATGAGAGTAGATTTTAAATGTTTTCGCCATCACCAACAACAAAATGGTAATTCCGTGAGGTGTGGGATGTGGTAGCTAACCTTACTGCGGTAAACATGTCACGACATATACATGTACCAAATATCACGTCGTACACCTTAAACTTACACTATTGTGGTAAACGTCAATTACCTCTCAATAAAACTGGAAATTTTTTTAAAGAATAGACAGTCAGCTGTACTGCTCAAGGTTCTGCCTACTTGGAGAATTTTCCTTTGCCACAGTCTTCGGGGTCACCCATCAGTGGCACTGTAATGCTGAACCACCTACTTCCGGTAGATCGTGCAGAATTATCTACAAACCAGGCTTGAGTTACTTCCTCCTCAGTCAACTGGTCTTACAAAACATTCCAGGAAGCACGGACATGGTTGAGGGAGAGGAGGCCATGCTGCAGGACTTGGTGTCGAAGGAATCAGAGCACTTGCTCGTGCAACTTTTTGTGCTTTCTGAGACGCTCTGAGTTCCCACCTCTAAAATCCCGTTCACTCATTGTGATGCACCTATGGCTTGACAGGTCGAACACTCAGTTCCTGATGGATAACTCAGGTCACGTGGTCACCCATAGTCTTAAGAATTCAGTCTCTACCAGCATCCGATAGTAAGTCAATGGAGAATGGTTATTGGAAGAAGCAGGCATGGATTTTCTACAAAACCCCACAGGTCTGCACAGTGATTGTCCTTGCCAGAGACACCACAGAGTATCACTACTTTCCACAGATGCTTGAGTGTTATTGGATCTGCTGGATCACAAGGCCCAATTGGAAGTGTAGCTGGCACTGCAGTCTGGACTCACTGCACAGACATCTCTTGTTCTGGTCTCCACACAAAACTGGCAGCCTTATGAGTTACACGGTAAATGGGTCGAAGTAACACACACGTGTGATATAAATTCCATAATCCAAAAGAGTCCACCAAACATCATTTTTAGAGGTGGCTTGTGCAAGGTGCAGCATCTTGTCTTTCACCTTGAAGAGGATATCTTTACATGCTTCAGAACACTGAACTCCTGGAAACTCCACTGAGGTTTTACTTTCCTAAATTTTCATGGGGTATATCTCCTACCTCTGGTTTACATATGTCTTACAAAGGCACCTATAGTACTTTCTGCTTCTTGCTCATCAGATTCCATCAGGATGATGTCATCAGTGTAGTGGACCAGTGGGTATCGTGAGGAATGGTAGGACAAAGTCTCTAAGGACTATATTATGTCAAAGAGAAGAAGAGATGACATGTCCCTTAGGCAAGACCGGGAAGCCGTACTGTTAGCCTTTCCAGTAAAACAGAGTGCTTCTGGTGGACTTTGCAAATTGGTATAGAGTAAAATATTTGATTGGGTGATAGCTGCGTACCAGGGCCCAGGGGTGTGATGTTCTGCTTTAGTAAAGATACTACATTTGAGACAGCAACTGCACTTGGAGTCACTGCCTGGTTAAGCTTACATTAATCCACGGTCTTTCTCCAAGATCCATCTACCTTCTGTGCACAGTCAAATAGACAAATGGGGAAATGAGAGAGATCACCATGACTGCAACTTTCAAGCTCAAGGCAATAATCTCTGTAGTTCCCCGCTAGGAATTAAACCTTTGGGTTCTTTCCCAAAGCCGGGCTCATTCTGGCATCTTGATATTATTGAATTTAGGCCACAGTCGAGTTCAAGTTTGAGTCAACCAACCAATTAAGTTTGAGTACCGTCCAGCTGCACGGGCTAACATTAAATGAAGATTTTTTTAGTGAATGCACCCACATCAATAAATTGCGCCTAACCCAATGTTACATCCTAACCTCCTTGGTATAGCATCCTTAGAATCTACTCCTATACGGATTCTTCCAGATTCCACCAGTATTTACTAGCAAAAGATCCTGCTATTACTAGCAAAAAATTTTGCTATTCTTATACAAGCTGTTTCTTTCTGGGTCTTAGCATGTAGCCATCCCTTTGGACCATGCTGAAATTGGACCCTAGTTATAGGTCTAATGGCCATGGGGTATGTTCAAAGTGGGTCTTGAGGAGAATAGGTGTCCCCTTGCAAGGAAGCAAAGAGCTTCCATGACAGCCCTAAAAATTATCTTATTTTTTGTAGCCATAGGGCTGACAGTGCAGAAAATCAGGCACAATGTTTAATCTTGTGAGTTACAGAATCCCAATGTCAGTCGAATTCCCAGCCTTTCCACATTTGTCACGTGAAAGGCAGGGCACTGGATGGGGAGAAGTGGGGTCCTGAAACTTAATGGTGCTCTCAAGCCAGAAGAAGCAAATGAACAAAACAACCCCCACAGGCCCTCTTTGGGGATCTGATACCTGATGCCACTCCTATTATCAGTTTTTTGATCAGAATGGATCCCATCAGGAAGCAGAAACGATGACAGACCCTTCCCTAGTGGCTTCGGAGGGAGCGCGACCTTGTGCGCACTTTGATCCTGGACTTCTGGCTTCTGGAACTGGGAGACGATACTTTTCTGTTGTTTAAGCCACTTGGGTTATGGTCTTTTATTACAGCAGAACCCCGTAGGCTGGAGCAAAGGGAAGGGGCTGTAACTTCTCAAACTTAGTAACTTAAGAGAGCGGCCCTTCCAGATGAAACTCAGTCTCCATTGGGGGCAGAGCCTAGTTACTGCTGGGATCTCAGAGCTCAGCAGAGAACCCTGTGGTGGCCCTGGGACCCAGACCTCTGAGGAGGAGAGGCATCGGTTGGCTGTTGTTGGTGTCTCAGAGCTGGGATGCAATAACACTGTTTTCGTAAGTGTTGGGAAATCTGAAAATTGGATTCAGTTGGTGCCATGGAAATGAGCTGCTTGCTGCCAGGGTGAAGCTATTTTGTTAGGGTGATGCTTACAGGAAGGAGCACATCCCTCCTTCCTCCTCCAGCCTTGCAATCTCCCTCCAACACCCTCTGTTAGCAGAACCTCAGACGGAGCCAGCTGGCAAAACACGAATGTGATTTGCAGAGTCCTCATTCCAGCATCGGAAGCAGAGGACAGCAAAGTGAGTTGGACTCAGGAGGGAGTACGATTTAATAACCGGTACACCCACTTTCTGGCCCAGCAACTCTCTTCGTAGGGCATGTAACCCCAAACTCCAAGAAAGGACTGCATATACCCACTTTCTCCATAGTAGACAGAACTGAAATGACCCAAATGTCCATCAATGGGAAAATGGGTTAATAGGATGTGGTGCATCCATACTATGGGTAACACTTAGCAATGAACAGGAGAGAAGAATTGACACAGTCACATGAATATGGTGTCACAAGACAAGTATTGGCCGGGTGGAGGCACGACGGGGCTTTCTGCAGTGATGCAAATGTCCTACAGCTTTGATCTGAGTGGTGGTGGATGTGCAGGTAAAAACTTCAGGTGTGCACTTTATTTCGCGTATGCTAACGTTCAATGAAGACATTCTTAGGGATTTTTTAGGGCAGTGAAATTATTCTGAATGATGCGTGCACCGTGTCATGATACATTTATCCAAATCCAGGGAACATGCAACCCCAAGAGTGAATCCTGATGTAAGCTGTAGTTAGTAATAACCTATCACTATTGGCTCATCGGTTGTAACAAATGTCCCACACCAATGCAAGATGTTAATAACAGTGGAAAATGCTAAGGGTAGGGAGCGAGGAACTCTATAGGGGAAACGTCTATTCTCTGCCCAATTTTTCTGTAACCTGAAGTTGCTCTAAAAAAAAAAAAAACCAGTCTATTCGTTAATTTTAACATCCAGGGAGGCAGCCCGGGGCAGACAGGGCAGCTCCACGTCATCGGAACCCCAAGGTCCTTTTATGTTGCTGCTGTGCCATCCTCAATAGCTAACTTTCATTCAGTGGTCCGAGATGGCTCCTCCTGGCCCCTCTATCACATTTGTCTTCCCGCTGGTGAGGAGATGGAGTGGGACAGGGAAAGGCACGCTCTGTTTCTTTAAGGGCACAGCCCAGAGGTTGCCCCTCCACTCACATTCCACTGGCCCCACCTAGGTGCAAAGGAGGATGGGAAATACATCTTCAGCTATTGTTATGTAAGAACAAGAAGACCTATACTGGGGACAACAAGCAGATGCTGGCTACAGCTGGGGATTAAGCAGGGATGATGAGTGTAGACAAGTCTCGAAGGGGTTTGCAGGAAAATTGGGCAGAGTAGAGCAGAGAAATGGGGCGAGAGCTGGAGGAAGGACGTGGTCGGGAGCGGGTGTTTTTAGTGATGGAAGCTCTTACGGCTCGTTCGTCTGCCCACAAGACTGATCCACAGAGAAAGAAAAATGAGAGGTCCAGAAAGAGGAGGAAGACACAGGAAAACAGTCCTTGAGTGGGTCATGGAGTGGGACCAGGTGCCGGGGTGGAGGGGATGACCTCGATGGACTGCAGCCTGCCCACCCCCCGTGGGGGGACAGAGCGTTCGGGGAGGGGCTGGGGTGAAGGATTCGAGGGGCTGGGGAAATTCTTTTCTGATTTCTACTCAGTCAATTCAAGATGAAACGAGGGCCCTTGCTGACTGCGCAGAGGCCAGGGGCGGGGGGAAAGGCGTGGGACTCTCATCTGGGAGAGCCCAGGAAATGACTGGCAAGTTCCCAAGGCAGGCTGGTTGTCCCTGTGGGTCCGCTCGAGGTTCGTGTGTGCTCATTCACTTAAAGTGCGTTTTACTGCTTCGGAGGGCTGGGCACTGGGGAGGTGTACTCCACCAGGGCGCTGAGCAGGGAGCCAGGAGGGCACAGGGTGGTTATGTCACTTCAGACAGAAGAGAGGCTCCTGGGCCCTGGCCACACTGCTCCCACGCCTGCCCCCCACTGCAGGAATGAGGGGAGACCCAACGGTGGGGAGAGCCTAGAGCTTCTTCTTCAGAGGCCAGCAGAGGGGATAGGAGCTGGCTTACTGCAGCCAGTAAGGGACATGGCCGGGGAAGTGCTCAGCGAAATGACAACGGTTCTTCGTTTCCAGGTTTTTATTTGCCTGTTATAATTCTGATATTTATGTACATATATATATATACTTTTGTTTTTTTGTAGAGGGCTCATTCACAGACCAAGCAAAGGCAGACAGGGAGACAGGGGCTGCCGGCAGGAGCACAGCAGAGCTGAGAGAACCCATCTTTCCTTTTTCCTTTTTTTTTTTTGTCTGTTTTTATTTTTCCTGGGATGGGATCATCAAAGCTAATTGCTATAAAACCTAGAAACCACCTAGAGACTCAGACATCTGCCTACACACTAGTGGCATATGGGGAAAGGGCAAGGGTAGGAACTTTCAAAGTCACGGTGTATTTACATTCCCAAGGTGGGCAGAGGGGAAGGCCGAGGAAGAAAACTGTTCAGACTGGGGGTGGCGGGCTAAGGAGTCCTGGGGTGTGGTGGTGGCGGCTGGGAGAGGCCGGGGCCAGGGGCAGTGGGGAGGAGGTGTGCCCACCCTGCACCCCGGCAGTGATGGAGGCCACTTGGATGTTGTCTGGTGGGTACCGAAGGCAGCGTGTGTATGGAGCTCCTGAAAGCCAGCCACAAGGTGGGGTGGGCATCGGGAGGAGGGGTGCTACCGGCGTGTGGGGACTCTGGGCTCTCCAGATGGCTTCCTCTGCACCCGTGGCCAGCTTGCCCAGCTCCCAACCTGGTTGGAGCAGAGATGGCAAAGAAAAGGGAGCAGATGGTGGGGACACGGAGTTCCATTCCCAGTTCCAGCCAGGCCGGCCGGAGAGTAGCTGGGGGTGAAGGTGCCGCCCCTGGTCCTGAGGAGAACTCGCCAGGCGGCATCTGAGAGACCCCTCTGGGGCCGTCCCCACTTCCACCCCACCCCCTCTCAACCCCCTCCCGACCACCACGGCCTCTCTGTGCAAAGGCTGGTGAGGCAGCACCTGAAGGCTCCTGATGTGAGTGATTGGCTGGCCCCCGAACTGGAGCAAAGCAGTGTGTGCCCAAGAAGGGGTACAGCTGGGTTTTGGCAATAAAATGGGAACCGGGTAGTCAGAAGGGGATTAGGCAGTGAGCTTCTCTCCTCTGATCCCGACTCAAGCCTCCCATGGGCCCAGGGCCAGAGGGTGGGGCGCGGCCTGGTGGAGGCAGGGAGGGGCCTCAGTCCCAAGGTCAGGGACCCAGAGCAGGCATCGGGCATGGGGGTTCTGGCCTCTGACTCCCCTGCGGCCCAGCCCCGGGCTGCACCCTGCCTGCCTTGCCTGGCCGGACCCCACTACTCCAGGGTCCCTGCAGGGTTGATGGGGGAGGCAGCCCCTGAGCTGTCGTTGCCTCCTGCCGCCTCCTTCTCCTTCTTGCCGCTGTACTGGCCAATGAAAGAGCCGTCCTCGTTGAACTGGACGTCCACGCTGCCCCCATAGTCAGCCAGGCTGTCGTCGCTGCCCAGGGGCTTGATGTCTCCATTGAGGGATGGCTGGCTGCTGCCGAAGGCCTTCTCCTCGTTGTCGCTGCAGGGGCAGAGGACGGGAGAGTGGTTGGCTGCCCAGCGGAGCCCAGCAGGAGCTGGCAGGTGCTAACCTGAGGGAAGAGGCCTGGCTGGGGAGCATGGTGTGGCCCCAGGGGCCCGGGTCCTGCCTTCCTTCCATTTATTTTCAATGCAATGGGGAAGAGGTTCTCATCTTTGACACGCACCAGGAGGGAAAGTGGCATGCACGCCACCAGAGGGACAAGGTTTGGGCATACACAGGATCCTGGTGGATGTGAAGGAACAAGTGGGCACTCAGCCTGGGGGTTCGGGGGGCCTGGCTCCTTGTCTGTAGGCGAGCCAGACAGGGGCACCTATCCAGCTGTCAGCCCTTGCAGAGCTGAGAGGGGGGGAGCTGGGAAGGTGACAGGTAGGCCTGGAAGCTGGCGTCAGTGCGTGGAGGAGGAGTTGGGGGTATTGGCTTGTCCTTAAAACAGTGAGCTACTAGACCAGAGGGCTGGGGGAGCCCAGAGCCTGGCAAGCGGGGACCAATGTAACTCCCAAGCACACGCTGTCCACAGGAGGGTCCCTGCCATCAGGGTCTGACAGTGTTTTCCCATGCACCCCTGCCTTACCTCTCCAGGGACCTGACATCACCCAGCAGCACAGAGAAGAGAAAGAGACAGGGTCAGATATGAAAGCAAGGATGGTACTGGGAGGCCGGCCGGCAAGGCTCCTGCCCCCAGCTCACCTGTACTCGCCAAAGGTCTCGTCCTTCATCGGCCGGGCCTCGGAGTCCACCTGGGTGTCCTCTTTATCCTTCACTGGAGACACACAGAGAGGGCTAAGCTTCTTCTCCCGCCCCAGCCTGTTCCTGGACACTGGGCCCCATCCCCAGGCGGGGGACATGAGTGAGGTTCTCCCTCTGCACTCAGAGCCTCCATCCAGCAATGTCTTGGCAGCTCTCAGAAGCCAGTAAGCATTCAAGGGTGTACCGCTCACCCCACGTGGGCCTGGCTGCCATTTGCTCTGGGCCCCTGTCTGCCCCCAACATGCCCATGCTGTCCTGCCGGGGGCTCAGGGACCAACAAGCACCTGTAGAAGGGATGAATAGTGGCCCAGGGCAGGGTTACCTGAGTACTTGCCACCCTTGCTGCGCTTGATAAAGCAGAGGATGAGCAAGATGAGGAGCAAGAGAATGATGGCGCTGATGAAGCCGATAAACCAGCCCTCAGTGGCAAAGCCAGGAGGAGGGAGTCTCATTCGGCCTGAGGGAGAGAGCCCAGGCTAGGGTGAGACAAAACCTCCGGGCACTGCAGACCCTGCGCCCTAACCCACGTCTCAGGTTCATGGCCTTGTGTGTGAGCCTCACTGGGAGCCTCTGTCTCCAGAGACTGGGCAGGGGCAGGATGAGGGCCAGGCACCAGAGGGTCCACGGGCAGTGGCCAGGGGCTGAGGTGTGTCTGCAAGTGATGCTTGGTGGGGGGATTCTCCGGGGAGCAAAGGACAGGGAGGAGGAGCTTCTGAGAAAATGACTGCCTTAGAAACAGTTAAGATAGGAGGGTTCTAAGACGAATCATTTCAGGAGCCTAGACTTCTCTGTCATGGGCCAAGGGGTACCCAGGTTCTGGGAGGAGGAGAGGAGCCGTGGCACGGGGCCTCACCAGTGCCGTTCGTCTTCACAGCCATCTGGTGTAGGAGCACCGTGTTCTTGAGTAGACAGATGTCGTAGTCGGTATCAGGCTGCAAGTCCCACTGCGTGTAGGACCTCTGGTTGTAGCTGACGTACTGTGGCGGTAGATAAGCACCCATCTTCTCTTCTGCAGGGGCGAGAGGGCAGCCGGGCTGGGAGGGAGTGCCAGCCAGCACCCTGGCTCCACACCAAGCCCAGACCCTCAGGACCCAGAGCTCCTTCCGCACCCAGAGGCTCCACTTATGCTCACCTCCCCGGGCTTTGAACGAGATCTGGAACCCAAAGTTGCACTGGCCCTCCTTGGGGACCCAGGAGACCACGCTGTAATTCTCTCCAGCCATGGCCGAGATATTGCCAAAATCCAGAGTCCCTGGGGAGTGAGAGGAGGCTGTGGGACCTCGTGGCGGCTCAAGGCCCACGCCGCTGGGCCTGGCTGCCCAGCGGGGCCTCCTCAGCCCTTCCGGCTTACCAGATAAGGCCATCGTGCCTCCTTCTTGCACAATGGCCTCACCAGGGCCCTCCTTAGTGGTGGCCTGAAGCTGGAAGCGGTACCTCAGGTGGGGGCTGAGGTTGGTCAGGTTGTGCATCCGCAGCTCAGGGTCCGAAAGGTTGAAGGACAACTGCTCCATGACCCCATCATCCACTGCAAGGACAGGAGGAGAGTTGGCTTTGGCAGCCGGCTCAGCTGGACCCCAGCCCCCCTCCATCTCCTCGCCAGGCTGGACCAGGGCTGTGGGCCCACAACGCACGTACGTGAGTGGTAAGAGAGCACGTAGCCAGTGAGCACGCCATTGTGACTGAGCGGAGGCTGCCAGTGCAGCAGCAGACTGGTGTTCGACTGGCACTCCAGGTGCAATGCCTCAGGGTGGCCGGGCACTGCGGGGCACAGACACGAGCAGCGGGGCCTCGCCCAGGCTCGAGCCGGGGCGGGGAGGAGGGGCGAGGCCGCGAACACGGGCTGCAAGGCTTACCGCCCTCTGGGGTGCTGAAGGTCATCTTGCTGGCGGGTCCCAGGCCCCGGCCATTAAAAGCCTGCACCTCCAGATGGTAGGAGCTGTAGGGCCGCAGGCCTCCCAGGATGGTGCTGGTGGTGTTGGCAGGCACCACCACGTGGCCTTTGTGGACATGCCTCTTGCTGTGCTTCCTCTGACTGCCCTCCCACCAGTATGTCACCTGCAGGTGGACAAAGGACCCCGTAGGGGCAGAAGTCATCCAGCAGTAACCCCCGGCGCATGCTACCCACTGCTCTCGATAAGAACCTTTTCCTCTCAACCCAAGGACTTCCGGAAGAGCAGCTGGCAGGTGACAGAGGCCTGCGCCCAATCCTCTCACTCCTGGTACCCTCACACCTCATGCTGGGCACCCCCCACCCAGTTTCCACACCTTGGATCCTTACATTATATCCGCGGAGGTGACCCTTGACCTGGGCTGGGTCCAAGGGCCACCACTTGACCAGCACGGTGCTCGAGTTGAGGATCTTGACGTCTTCCAGCTGAGGGCTTGCCTGGGGGTCTGGAAACAGCCAGGGACATGGATGAAGGCCTATGGCATCTCGAGGCCAGCCCAGAACCCTCCCTCAGGGGAAGATGGATTGAATTTGAGGGGCAGGGCATTTGCATGGCCTCAGGGTCTCTCCCTACAGAGTGTTTATTAGTTGCAAGGCAGAAAGTAAGAACTACAGGGAGGAGTAACCAGAAAAGATCTTGAAAGGGTGATCAAAAGGAACATCCATCTAGTGTTCTAGAATCAAGGAGAGGAAGGCGGCAGGACAACCAGACCGGATGCAGGATCCTGGACTCGGGGAAGACAGCATTGATTGGCACAATTAGAACATCAGCTGCCAACTAGAGGAATGCATCGTGTCGATGATAAGTTTCTGGACTTTGGCACTTTGGTTATGTAAGACAATATCCTTAGTCCTAAGAAATGCACTGTGGAGAGACAGGGGCTGGGCGCACGCTAAGAGGGGAGCGGGCTGCGCAGGCGCATGTGGGCTCTGCAACCGCTACTTACAGTCTTCTCCAGAGTAGCCAATGGTGACCTGGGGCTCGGGGCCTTTGCCCTGGCTGTTGATGGCCTGGACCTTGATCTCATAGGGTACAAAGGTGGACGTGTTGGACACCACTAGGAAGGGGTCATTCACGATCTGTTCCTGCCAGGCGCCCCGCAGCCCCTGAGGGCGCCACTGCACGCGATACTGAACATGGGGGGCATTCCAGTCCATCCACCTGAGCGGCTGGAGGGGGCAAGCGGAAGAGGAGCTGGCTGACCAAGAGCACCCCCGCTGGGACCTGCCGCCCCCGTCCCCTGGTGACCCAGCCTCATGTCCTGTCATCCTCTGATCCTTAGCAATCAGGGGGAACAGCAAACACCTGGGTCCTGGCCTGATGTCCCCTTACCTTCCAAGTGATGACCATGTTGTTGGTCTCATTGCCTTCCCCCCTCACGTCCACGGGGTTCTTCTCCGGGGCTGGAAAGCAATGTATTGTTAACTCATCAATGCTTTGGGCTCCTGCTGAGGCAGTGAAGGCTGAGGATGATGGAAAGAATGGCCCCTTCTGGCCCTGGAAGCCAGGAGCCAATAGCCCCGAGGGAACCCTGCCCCTCAGCTCCCTCTGCAAACCTGAAAACAGAGGAGCTTGGGCGCAGTCACCTCTGCGGGCCCTCCTTGCAGAGCCTGGGAAGTCTGGGGACCGTGGCGTCTAAGGCTCCCGCCCAGGTGACTCACCTGCCTCAGGTGTGACCACAGTCTCAGAAGCCGGGCTGGGCTCCCCGGGGCCGTATTTGTTGATGGCAGTAACTCTAAAGGTGTAGTGGACATAGGGTGAGAGCTTGAGGGTGGTGGAGGTCTGGTTTCCAGGCACCTTGCCCAGACTGTACCATTTCTCAGGTGCCATCTCCTTGTCTTCAAATTCAATGTCATACTCTGCCGAGAAATGAATCGACGATGGAGTGATCAGCGTGTGGTATGGGGGAGAGGTGATGAGGGTACAAGCCTGGCTTTCCCTGAGGTGCCCAAGGCGATTGGCATTCTCGGACTCGCATGAGGAACCGTGAGCCCCAGTGAGGTGGCAGTCATGGAGCCAGGGCCCTGGGAGGAGGGAGGGCTGGCAGAAGGGGCAGTGGGGGAGGTGAGTGGCGTCATGCCCAGGCCTCTTACTCTCAATGGGGGAGTTGTGGTCGTCAGCGGGACTCCAAGACAGGTGCACCTGGCTCTGCTTCAGCAGGTGACGACCGGACAGCTCCAACTGAGGCACTGGCCCAGGGCTCCCTGAGGGCCATAGAGGGTAGGTTCTGGGGCTGGCTCTTGAGCTGGATGCCCCAACCCCCAGCTCAAAAGGGCCCTGTAATGTGAGCCTGGGCCCCTGTGCCCCAAGGCCTGTGCCCCCCGTGTCTCCAGACCATGAGCCTGATATCAGCCTAGGACTCACCCACCACCAGGAGCTCCGCCTTGCTTTCCACCACATCCAGCTTGGTGCTGGCCACACAGCTGTAGTTGCCTTGGTCACTGTAGTCCAAGCTGTGAATGACCAGGCGCCCGTCCTCTATGAAGTACCTGGTGGGAAGGGAAAGGGGACGCTCATCCTTTGGCTCTCAGAAGATCCACCACTTCCCACCCTCTGCTCCCCTCCCCTCCTTCTTCTTCCAGAACCTTCTCCCTCAATGCAGGGGCACTCCCCCCCACGGTTAAGGCCAGGAAGCCCGGACATTCTGCTTTTCCCACTCTGCCCGCTTCCACTGAGGCCAGGTTGGGGCTGGGCTCGCACTTGTCACTATCCCCAAGCTCCTGGAGGTTTCGGCCATCCCTGCGCCAGGTGATGCTGCGCTGCAAGGAGGGGTCGAAGGAGGCCTGGCACGTGAATGTCACTCTTGAGCCTTTCTTCTCGATTGCGTTCTGGGGTCCCTGTGTGATCTGAGTGGCATCTGAGGGCAATGATGGGAAGAGACAGTCACTCTGGTGTCCTCCAGAGACCGTGACCATCCCTCCCGGAGGTGCTGCTGATCGCATGGGGCAGGGGGGGGTCACCTGACCTTTGACCTGCAGGTTCGCCACAATGGTTACGTTGTTTTGGTCATTAGCAGCCTGGCAGTAGTAGTGTCCGGTGTCATTGGCCTGGAGGTCCCGGATGCCCAGGGTCCCATTGGTGTAGGGGAAGAAGCGTTCGTCCTGCAGCACGGTCTTTCCTTCCTTGTCCAGCCTGGCACAAGGCAGGGCGGGCTTGGCTCACACTCCACCAGCGCGCTCCCCTGCCCTCCCTGGCTCCCTGGGCCAGAAGATGGCTTAGACCACCCCTGCCGGAGTGGGCGCTCACCACTGGACGCCGGGCACAGGGGCTCCGAAGGCCTTGCACAGAAGGTAGGCAGTGCTGCCCTCGACCGCCAAGTAGGTCTCATTGTCTGGGGTCAGGATCTTGGCTGGTAGCTCTGGAGGAGGAGTCACAGGAGACAGCGCCAAGGGGAAGATCCAGGGCTCCGCAGGGGACTCCTGTCCATCTTGCTTCCCTGTGCCTACCTCTGGCCCTTGCCAGCCTGAGCCTCTCTCTGCCTTCCGACCTGCCATCCCCTCTGCCTCGAATGTGCCTCCCATCCCAGCCACCCAAGTTTGACCAATTCTTTGGGAGCATCACTGACATTCTACCCCTTCCTGAAAGCCTTCCTAGCCAAGCCCCCCATCTTCCCTGAGGCTCCAAGAGAGGAGCCACCAGGCTGACCTTTGGCACACCCTGGCCAAGGTGAGCCTCCACTTTAGTGACATGGGATGGGCCAGACCACTGTCTGAGGCTCTTTCGTCCGTAAGTGGTGACAAGACCCTGCCCCTCCTCCACACCCCCTGCCCTGTTGTTGTGAAGATGGGCGAGAGATGGGGTGAAGGGCCCCGGAGATCAGAAAGGCAGCCAAGGTAGACAAACCAGCTGCTGGCTGAGTCAGCTTGGTGGGCGGCAGGGACAGGTTGGGGGTTATGAGGCACAGAGGGCAGGGAGGGCAGGCCCAGCTGCCTGGCACTCACGGACAACATAGATGTAGGCATTGGCCAGCAGGACCCCATGCCGGTTGCGGGCCTCGCACTGGGTGACCATCGTGTCGCTGGGCTGCACATTGCTCAGGGTCAGGGCTCCATGCTGGATCCGGTACTTCTGGTCCTTGCCCAGCTCTGTGCATGCAGCAGGTGGGCCCGAGGGCCAGGACAATGTAGGGAGCCGTGCTGAGGCCTCTCCTCACCCTCTTCTTCCTCCTCCGCCATCCCCAGAGCTTCCCACGCTCCCTGCCCCTGCCCAAGGGCCTCTTACCCTCCACAGGGATCCCATTGATTCTCCAGGTGACTTCTGGTTTGGGCCTGCCCTGCACTTGGCAGTCCAGGCGGGCAGTTTCCCCTGGCCCATACAGATGGCTCTGGGGCTTGTGCAGCCAGTACGGGGCAGCTGCGAGGAAGGGGGGGAGCTGCCCTGAGCCTGCAGCCTGCAGCCAGCTTTCACCCCTGGCCCAGATGCCCCCCGCACCCCCATGACAGTGTGCATCGCAGATCGCCACGCCCGGAGGTCGCTCCGGGGAGCCTTGCAACAGGGCAGGGGTTGCGCCCAGCAGAGACACCATACCCTCCACGGTGACGTAGTAAGTGTGCCGGTCACTGCCTAGTGAGTTCTCAGCCAGGCAGCGGTACTCGCCGTCGTCCTCTTCGCCCATATCCAGCAGGTGCAGGGTCTTGTTGTGGTTCTGGTAGGTGACTCGGTCGGCTGGCATGTGGCCACTTGGGCGAAGCCACTTGATGGTGGGCGTGGGGCTGCCCGGCGCAGGGAGGCCAAGTAGGAGAGCAGAGGGAAGAGAGGACAGGGTTGCTGAGCTCTGCGCCCTTGACAGAGGCCCCGCCCACCCCTACCCAGAGAATCTAGACTCACAAGCCCTCAGCGATGCACTCCAGGACCAACGGCTGCCCCTGCAGGGCCACCAGGTGGCTGCTGGCATTGGTGGGAAAGAGCAGGCGTGGCTTCCTGTCGATCATGCTGTTGGCTGTGAGGAACAGGGACTGGGTGACTCTGGACACCCCGGCGAGCCCCTGGGGTCTCGGTTTCCTCGTCTGCTAAAGGGAGGACCCCACTCTGCTCTTGCCACCTAGGAAGGGGTCTAGACAGGGTCAAGATGGGAGCCAAGCTGTCCTCGAGGAAGACCAAAGTCTTCTATCTAGGGGACAAGCCAAGCCTGAGGGTGAGAGAGGAGTGGGGGTGTGTCAGAGCCTTTGGGACTCACTGGCCTTGACCCGGAGGTCAATGGGTTCCTTTTGAATGATGGTCCGGGTGCCAGGGAAGTGGGCGTGGCAGATGTAGTCTGAGTGATTGTCCGAGGTGAGCACGTTGGCAAAGTAGAGGTTGCCATTCTGGCCCATCGTCACCCGCTCGTCCTGTTTTATATGCAAGATCTCTGCGGGGGTAAGGCAAGGAGGCAGAGGTCAGCGCCCTCCTTCGAGGAAGATATTCCCACCGGCACCCCCGCCCCAGGCAGCAGCCCCTCGTGGGCACCCACTGCTGTTCATCCAGTAGATCCGGAGAGGCTCTGCGCTGGGTGGAGGGTGGCAAGGCAGAATCACTGACTCCCCTTCCTCTACCTCGACAGGTTTTACGGTCTCCTTTGGCCACTTGGGGGCACCTAGAAGGGACAGAGAGGCCAGCAAGGTGGATCCCAATTCTCTTCCTGGTCAAGGCAGGGCAGGGCAGGGGAAAGGAGGAGGGATGGCTCAGGTTCGAGAGAGGGCTAGGCCGCGAGGAAGGTCACATAAAGAGAGGCAGAGACTTTGGGTCTTTTCTGGGCTCGGGGTTGAGATTGGCACTCCACGCAGAGGAGACGATGGGCAGCCTGTGAAGGGTTAACCCTCCACAATTCTCAGCTCCCACCCCCAGGACAGGACAAGGATGGGTGGGGGGAGTCTGAGGTGCGGCAGTGGGGGAGGGGAGCTATGGAAGGATGCGGGAGTCACAGACCCTTCCATCATCCTGACACAGAAACCATGGCAACGGTTCCCAAGGTAACCAGAGGGGCAGAGAGGAAAAAAAGAGTGAGCTCGGGAGGCAGAAAGCTCAGGGAGGATGGAATGCAGAGGGGAAACCCCAAGGAAAGGGCGACGCAGACGAAGGCAAAGACAGAGCCAGGGAGGCCGGGGTCGGAGGTGGGGCGAAGGAGCAGGGGGGAAGGGGGAGGAGAAGCAGAGGGAAGGAGGTGGAGTGGTGGAGAGAGATGACCAGAGAAAGAAACGGGACTTCGGAGATAAAGAAGAGACAGAAGCCAAGCCCAGGCAATGACTCAGACAGAGACAGGGCAGGCCAGAGAGAGGAACAACGCAGGCAGAGAATCGATCCTCCACCCACTCTAACAGCCAGCAAGCCTGAGCCCACGCGCTCCCACACAAGGTCCCTGAGACCTGGTCGGGGACCCGCTCATGTGTTCCAGACCCTCCCCGGTCCCTGCAGTGCCTCGCACCCTCGGCCATGAGCTGGATCTCATGGGACATGGCGGTGCCCAGCTTATTGCTGGCAAAGCAGCGATAGGTGCCCTGGAACCTCTGGGCAAAGTTGCTGTTGTTGCCGGTGATGGTGAAGGAGCCGGAGCGGGGCGCCTGGTGCACGGTCACACCCAGCTCCTCCTTGGGTTTGAAGTGGACACCATCTCGAGTCCAGCGGAACCTGCGAACAGAAAAGGGCTCAGACGACCAAGGCCCTGGAACCGAAGTCAGGCGCTGGAATAGAACAGAGGCAAGGGCACCGGAAGCCAGGGGCCCCCAAGATGGGCTGGGACAAAGAAGGACCAAGGGAGATGAGGGAGACTGGGGTATCTGGGCTCAGAAGTTGGGAGGCCTCGGGGGGGGGCAGGGGGGCTAGAGGTTGAGGTCAGCAGTCAAAAACAAGGTTTAGAGGGTAAAGGTCACTCACTGCACTTCGGGTTTGCCGGTGGCCTCACACTTGAGGCTTATGTCATCTGTGGGGAAGACAACCAGGCGCCGTGGAGACTGATCCGTGATGACAGGTGGCTCCATCACTGGGGATACGATGGGGAGAGTGGTGGTGAGGATGCCATCTGGCTGGCATCATGGCCTCAACCCCCATCCCATGATGAGGGAAGCAGGGCCTGGAGCCCCTAGAGGCCCCAGGGCCATGTGGGTGGGGTGAGAGGAAGAACGAGCTAGAGAGACCAACTGCCTTGGCCATAGGCATGTGGGACATGAAAAGAGGGAGAGAAAGGGACACAGAACGAATGTAGAAAGAGACAGAACAGAGTTCCAAAGACAGACACCTAAAAGAGAGATGTGAAGACGAAGAGAGATGAAAAGTGTATAGAAGAAAAAAAAGGAGACAACAAAAGCCAAGAACACAGAAACTGAGAAAGACAAACCCCTCCCAGAGAGAGCGGGGACCAGAGAGGACAGAGCACCAGAAAGAAATGACAAGAGTGAGCGAGAAAAGCCAGGCCAGGGCAGACACAGAACAAAGACAACCCACACAGGTGGGAGAGACGGAGAAGGAGAGGCTGAGGTGAGCCTCCAGCCTGAGACAGTGGGACGAGGACCCAAGAGCCAGAAAAGACAGCAACCAGCGCAGGGCACATGGCACATAGGAAGAGGAGGGAGAGGGGCATGTGCTAGCATTCCCTCTTTCCTCCTCTCCCTGGCCTTCTGGAAAATACTCCCACCCTCCCGCAACTTACCATGGTATCCTTCATCTGAGAAATCCGGGCAGCAAGGGAGAGAACGGAGAGAAAAGCTGATAAGCAGCCCCAGCAGGGGGCCTGATGGCATGGAAAGAAATAAGCAAGTTGGCAGTCCCCCTGGGGAAGCGGGGGGCGGGTGGGAGAGGAAGCTGTCTGCGGTGGTGTTATTCGGGGGGCACATACTGGGCTGGAGCTGTGGCAGGTCGAGACCCAGGACAGGCTAGAGCCTGGATTCAGGGGTGGGGCGATCAATGCCCAGGGGGAGCCAGGCCTTGGTGCCAGAAGGCAGGGGGAGAAAAATGTGTGCCTTTAACAAGGAGTGCCCTTCGCACAGACCCTTGCATCCCCCTGGCAGGACCTGGCAGGGTCTGTAGGACTGACCTCCATCCCACCCAGGATGCCTTGAAGGAAGGCGGGGAGGCAGACAGCCCGCAGCCAGCACCCTCCCCTGCTCCAGCCCACTTCCCTCCTAATCCAATTAGCACAGCTCAGTGTTTTCAATTACCCAGGCCCAGCCTTCAGAGCCCAGCTGCCCCCTCCCTGCGAAACCCTCCCAAAGGCCCTGCTGCATCTGAGTTTCCATCGCCTGCGGGGCTATGGACACAGCAGCCCTCCTTTGCTCCCCTTCCTTCCTCCCAGCCTGCCACCAAGCTCCCTGGGGCCGAGGCCAGGGCCACTGCCCGGCTGCGGGACTCAGCCCAGCACTGGCCAGGGTGGCTATGAGGAGGGGGAGAGGGAGGGGAAGCAGGCTGGGGAGGGGAGTAGTTGGCTGCTTCTGAAAGCTTTGTCTCTGCAGAAGACCTCACTGTAAGGGCCCCCAAGAGAGAGGAGGGGGCTCCCTGGGGACACTGCAGAGAGAGCCCTGAGCTGGGGAGGGGCTAGTACAGGCAGCCCAAGAGCAAGAGACAATGACAGGGACCACAGGATGGGGGAAATAGACTTGGTGGAGAAAGCAGGAAAAGAGACAAAGGGGCCCGGAATGACTAGAGAGCAAGCAAGCTGAAGCTGGAAGCCATGTTGGATTGGGGTTAATACCAACTGCCAGCCAGTGGCCAGGGCAGACTTGGAACTGCCGTGGTCTTTGGCCTACTTCTCTTTCCTCGCTCTTGCCTTTCTCCAAATTCTCTCTGCCTCTCCACACACAGACAGACCCGGCCAGATGGCCCAGCCAGTGTGGTAGCAGGGCAGGCCGCTACCCAGGGTAAGACCTGGAAAGCAACTGAGAGGAGGTGGGGAGGGAAGGAGGACGAGTACATACATATGTGTGACAGTGCGTAAGTGTGAGTCTGGGCATTTGTGTGTGGATGTCCCAGAGTATATCGCAATATGTTTGCGTGTCCGCCAGGGTATCTGTATGGGAGCGTGTCTCGCTGGAGTACATCTGAAGGCTGCGTGTGTGCGTGCTGGCATTCAGTGTACGATTTTGTACTGTACACCTGCCTCTGTGTCTGTGTGGATGATTGTTCCTTTGTGTCTAAATCCCTCACTTTGTGTGTGCAAGACTCTGTGTGTGTGTGTGTGTGTGTGTGTGCGCTTCCTATGTGTCCTCTCAGGGTCACTGCCCCTTCCATATTTCTGTGCCTGGATTGATACAGGTGGCTCGTCTATGTCTACCGTGTGTGTGTCCGTGCGCATCTGTAGCTAGGGGAGTGCGCAGAGGCCTGACTGCATGAACATTCGTGTTCATATTTATGGAGGCGTCCTCAACCTCTGTCCTGTCAGGCCCTCTCCGCCTCTTCAAACTCTCACTGTCCCCAATGCCAGGTGCCTTCTAAGTCCACCTCCTTCATCCCCTGTCTCATTTCTGGCATTGACAGTCTTCCCCACTCCCGGCCCCCAGCTTGTCTCTCAGGGACACTGGCCTCCTCCGGGTCCAGCCTCAGAGACAAAGAGGGGCAGGGATTAGAACTATGGCAGGAACAGGCTCAAGATACACAAATGCTGCCCTGTGAAATGCCCCTCACAGAAGCTCAACAGCCACTTACAGCAGTGGGTTTACATCTCCTGCTCACACTCAGGAGAAAACAGTGTCACAGTAACACCCCACCACACAAACACGAACAGGTACTCACATGCAGCCCCACTACATGACCCACTATAGTCAAATGTTAACAGTCAAATACCAACAGACTTTCACAAACCTGACCAATTAAGTAATAGTTCTTGTGACTCGCAAACTTACCCATATAGGAAATCAAAATCTTCCTCAGGAATATCCATACTTAGTCAATCATAACCACACATGCAAGCATATACAGTCTGTCCCACTCACAAGCATACACGAATAATCATGTTCAGTCGTAACCCACTAGCCCCGATCCCCAACACCCCCACACCTACCCGTGACCCCCCCCACAAACGTAATGCTCCAGAAGCCCCACCCCCCAGACCCACCACGTTACTGCACATCGAATCATAAGGATCCAGAAGGCGGCTGGACCTTTGCAAGGTGTCTTTTCCTGTCTAATCGCAGAGTTACAAAGGCCCAAGATAGGATTACCCGAGTCAGAAGCAGAAGCGAGACCTGAATCCAGGCCTTCGCACAAGCTCGTGGAGCACTGAGAACAACCCCATTCTCTCTCTTGCCACACCCCTGGGGAGGTGGGTGGGGAGGGGTGGGGCGTACCAGAGGAAAGTACAGAGGAGGCCCGAGGAGGCCCGAGGAGGCGGGTCCAGCACCAGGCCCGCTGTCCGTGGTGCTGAAACCTCCCGGGGCCGCCCTGTTCCCTGTCCGTGGTGCTGATACACCCCGCGCCTTCTGTCCTGTTCTCTCCAGAAGCACCCAACGTCCTGGGTACCTCCTGCAATATTCCATGCCCAAGAAAGGAAGGGTGAGGGGGCGAGGGTCCGGAACCAGAAGGTGAGGAGGTAGAAGATAAAGAAGAGCCCAGAACGGCGGTGAAGGAAGGCGCCGAGGCTCCCTCCAGCTACTCACATTCCTCGGGGATCTGGATGAGCAGGCAGGGGCTGCACAGGAGGAGAGGCCACAAGTACCGCAGCGCCACGGCCATCTTCCCGGCGGCGCCGGCGGCTCGGCTCGGCTCGGCACAGCCGGCCGTATTCGGCTCAGGCTCCGGCCCGGAGGGAAGGGGGCTGGTGGGCGGCTTGGGGTGGGGGCACTGGGACAGGGGAGGAGGGAAGGGTGGGGGAGGAGAAAGGAGAGAACGGACGGTTGTTAGTGACTAACATCTGGGCGAGCCCGGCTACTGGCCCCGCCCCCAGCCCCGCCCGTGGCTGGCCAACTCCCCCCTCTCCCTCTCCCCCCCACCTTGGAGGGAGAAATCTGGAAGAAACTAAGCACTGGCTGGGCCTCGAGGTTGCTTTTCATTCTCTTCCTATTCTCTGTCTGTGCCTTCCCCACCAGCTGCCTCTCCAGCACCAACTTGTTGCCCCAAATCAGCTCCCCTGGGCATGCCACAGGCCGCTCTGTGCATGTCGTCCCCATGTGTGACTCGATGTGCCAGCAAGCAGGTGCCTGTGGGCATGAGTGTAGATATGAATCTGCACGTAGCCAAATGTACACATCAGTATTTATGCGGCTGTGTGTGTACATGCAGGAGCACATTCGTATGTGTCTTCTCTGGGAAGGGACTGCACTCAGAAGCGTACGTGCAACTTCTTGTGTGTCTGTCTATATCTGTGGGGGATGAATCCTCATGTCTGCTATTGCTGTGTTCATATACAAGCATGGATGCACACATATGTAGAGAAAAACTCTCGTCAGTCTCATCGCCGTGGGTTTCAGAACCGACTGATTCCCGGATGCTGTTAAGGCCTAAAAAGCCAGCGGTGGGTGGGGAGTTTGGGAAGTAGAGACAGCAATGGAAGGAAAGGGGCTCAAGAAGGCTGCATTTCACAGAATAGGTTGAAGAAAAGGAATAAAGAAGGGGGAAGGAAGTGGCGGGAGGGAGAGAGAGGAAGAAAGCACCTCTCTGCTGTCCCTCAGGCCCCTGGGGAGCAATAGAGGCAACTGCGGCCTCCCCACTTCCAGATGCTCCAGGCCAGGGTCAGGGCAGGGGTCAGGGAAAGCTCTGGGACTGTGTTTTTGACACTTATTCAGTGTCTGGCAGGCCCAACTTCTGAATCTTTTTCTGAGTCCCGAAGGCTTAACTGCTAGGTGTGTCCACCCAAGCGTGTGACACCAGCCACACCCACATTCTACCTGCGTGGAAGGAGCCTGGAAGACTAGGGGCCCAGGGGAAGGGGGCTTCTCTACCAATGACTAGAAGAGGGAACAGACGTCCAAGAAGACAGACCACTTTGATTCCAAACAGGAAAACGTGTGAAAAAAGGCAAGCTGTGAAGGAGGCGGAAGAGCAGGAAGGACACTGGGTGGCTGAGAGCTTGGATGCTGGAGCCCGGGTCTGTACGACCTCACCAAGTGCACACTGGGCATCCTCCCTCTGCCAGTCAGGGCCTCATCAAGGGGGTACCGAGCCTCATTCAGAATGCTGAAGGGCTGTGTGGGGAGGCCTGGGATGCTGTGCTAAGGCACCTAGACTCCGTCAAGAGCCACAAATTGGTTTTGTGTAAAGTAACCCGAGAAGAGTGGTAAATGCAGCAGACTGTCTGGGGATTGGGCAGGGGAAGTGGATGGTGGCAAACAGCAGTCATCTTGGAGCTCTCAGACTCCCGCCACCCAACGCTGCAGGGGGAGGTAGAGAAGCACCAGGGCGGGTCAACGTGGATGGGCCGAAGGCCAAACAAATGACTTGAAGGATGGGAAGTGGCAAACACATGGCCCATTCCCAACTTGCAAGAACTGAGCTGGGGCCCAGAAGGGAGGAGCAACAGCAGACCTGTTCCGCCCCCACCTTCCCTCACAAAGCCAGTGCGAGCAGGGTGGGCCCCAGGCGGCCTTGGCATCAACTTCAAGGCCTGTAGGAAGCAGTAGGAGATTCAGATCAGAGCAAGCGATCAAACAGCAGCCTTGGGAGCTCTGAACGCTCTGGTCTTGGGAGGGGGAGGGGAGGAAGAGAGAAAAGAGCTCAAAGGAGGACTTTTCCGCATTTGAGGAGGCCCGAGCGCTCTATTTGCTGGAACGATGAGCCCTGTCATGTCAGCTCCTCCATTTGTCTTCCAAATCTAGGCTCCCAGAATGGGGTGTGGCATGTACACCCCGGGTGTATACTCAGAGGAAATATGATACCCCCAACCCCCTGGTCCCCATTCCCTGCCCCATCCCAATGCCCCACAGTTTCACATCCAAACTCTTTTAGTCTCCTGGTATTTGCCAACCAGCTCGCCCGAGCCACCGGGGGGACTCAGAGACAGGCTGGAGCCAGAAGGTTGAGGGGCTGGTCCCCTGACAGCTGGGAGGGGCTCTGCCTCCTCTCCTCCCACTGCTGCTGGGTCTCTGATCTCTCACCATTCCTCTGGCAATTACAGACCAAGCAGCTCAGGTTGTCAGCTCAGCAGGTCCCCACCCCCCATCAGCACCTCCAGGGGCAAGGGAGGGGGGACTATTCCACAAGCTGGTGTACAGATGGAGCCAAGGCCATGTCTGTGAAGGGGGGGCAGGCTGGGGAAGACTGAAGGGTGACAGACAGGGCGAGAAAGAGGCAGGAGGGAGCAGGAGAGGCTGAGAAGTGGGGCTGGGGGAGGGAATGGAAGACAAAGACGGATGTTGAACCATCACGGTAACCGAGATGGAGAGACCCAGAAACAGGGACCCAGGAAGCATGGAGAGGAAAAGAAGAAGTGAAAGGCGTACGTAGGGTGGGAGACAGCAGCAGAAGGCACTAATGAGAAGTAGCCGAGGGATAAGAGGGGCTAGTGGTGCTTCCTCCAGATCCTGGTCCCTGGGGGATGCACCAGGCAAGGGGCGGGGAAGGAGGAGGGGTGATGGACCTGAGTCAGAGGAGGGGCCCTTCTTGGGCTTGGAGGTCAGGCTGGACTGATGGGCAGGGCGGAGAGACAAACAGAGAGCAGAGAAGCCGTGAACCGGCGCCAGAGAGACAAACAAAGCCCACGACTAGGAAGACAACGACAATGACAGGGAGCGGCAGGTCCCTGGCCACTTGTGGCATTGGAGCAAAGATGCGGTTGTAAGACAGGATGAATGAACCGGCTGGCCCTCAGGGAGCAGGTGCGAGTCCCCACAGAGGGGGAGGGCGAAGCACCCAGAGGACCATAGTGGATCCTTCCAAGATCGCCCCTTTGGCGAAGCGAGCAGCCACCTGGCCGGGGGGGAGATGCCCACCCATCCACAGGCACAACAATGAGTGTCCGTGTGCACGCCCATACATGCACCCACTGCATACACCTGCCGTTGTGCTGGGGGAGGCCACAACAAAGGCAGGCTGCTCCTGAGTGTGTCCAGCTGGGATCCCATCCTCCCCTGGGTTCTCACACACCACTCACAGGCTGGCAGAGAGAAAGGGCGTGGCAGGCACCGAGGTGAATGAAGTCGGCAAGGTCAGGCCCACTGGAACCTGCAGGGAAGGACCGAGTGCGACCCCAGAGGAGCCCTGGCCCCACTGTGCCCCTGGGTCCCCTTCAAACTCCTGTCCTCTGGCCTCTGGCCACTGACTGCAGTGGTGGGAGGCGCTTGGAAGGACGTGGAGCCAGGCTGAGACCTGGGGTGGCTTGCTTTCCTCCCTGAACACACACACACACACCCTGGGAACCTTTAGAGGTGCCCTGCATGCGCTGGATGCACACGTGTCCGCCAGCTCCCACATCCTGCCTTGAGTCCTCTCTGCCCCTCCCGTCTGAAGGGAATGCACCTGCCTAAGAGAGAAGTAGCAAGACGACTCTCTAGCCCAGTGTCTGTTGAGAACAGCAGTGCTCTGTGACCGGGCAGGCCTGAGTAGGGGCAGGGCTGGGGGCTCAGCACCCCGGGTGTGTGAGATGGTCAGAGTGTGGGTGCCACGTCTACATACTTGTAGGTCTGGGGGTGTACGTGGTGGCACTCATACGTGGGTGGTCTCTTCACTGGGCTGGTGGGGGCCCCGGAGCCTGTCGGTGTGCATATGAGACTGTGGGTGTCAATTATATCCCATGCACTGTGTTTCTTTAAGGCTCCTCCTCGCCCTCCCCACCCCAGGCTGTGGCTGGCGAGTTTCCATGGAGATGGAGCCCAGCTCCCTCCACTGGCAGAGATGGGGGAAGCCTGAAGGAAAGCTTGCTGCAGCCTAATGGGTTATTTAGATAATACATAAAGGAGGCTTCTGGGTGGGAGCCCCCACAGGTACCCGGGTGCCCGGAGTCTCAAAGGACTGCTGTTTCATCCTCTGTGCTCCTGCCTCACCTCTCCCTGAGAGCCCCCCACCCAGAGTACACCCTCAGCCCCCACAAGGCTGAGATCTCCAAGGCAACGACAGCTCACCTGTAAAGGACCATTCTTAAAGGATGAAGAAGGGGCGGGACAGAGGTTAACCCTTTGTGGGAGAGTAAGGAGAACAGTCTGTACTGGCGAAGGAAGAGAGAATCTCACCATCCGTGGCTAGGACAGTTTTTCTCCACCCCCACCCCGGCGTCATAGTCAGCTGCCCCGTTTTATTGAATAAATGCATGGATAGCATCACATGCCGGGGACTCTCTTAAGCGCTTCTTCACACATCACTCATGTCATCCTTCAAATTGTCCTGAAAAGGATACGCTACCAGTATCCCTACTTTACAGATGCCGAAACTGAGGTTCAGAGAACCAGAGCATCAGATTCAAGGTCACAGAGTTGGCACTGACGCTCACCAGAGACGGGGTTCTAGACGGGCAGAGGCTTCCTCCGGGGGTCAGCTCACCTCTCAGAGCAGCTTCCCAACGTGTGCACCTGCTGCTGTTCCCAGGTGGCCAGGGGCCTGGACAAGGATGGCCTCCAAGCCATCCTGCTCCCTGGGGAAGGGCCTATTTGCTAGGCAGATGGCAGGCAAATGTTGGGGGCAGGGAGGGAAATCTTGAGAGGAGGACACGCGGAAGTCGGATGTGACCCAAATCGTGCCTCAGCAGAGCAGGAACTACCCTACCCCTCGGCCTTGGGCTTCACACGACGCCCAACCCAAGGGCTCTGTCCAAGGGAAGGCAAATTCCTTTCCCTGTTCAGCTCCGGGACAGTCTGGGCTTCTTTCTCCCCCTCCCGTTATCCAGAATCTTGGGTCGCTTTCTGACCCCTTTC